TCCTTTTGTCTCAATATATATATATTTTTTAAAATGGTCTAAAACCCTCCGAAAAATTCAGAGCCAATGTAGGAAAAGTTGTGTTGTTTTTTTTTTCAATTTAGGATGTTCATGGCTGATTTGAAAAATGTATAAAATGTAAAGCAGCGGTTCCCTCCTCTTGTCTTCACACTAGAATCACCTGGAGATTTTGGGGTTTTCATGATTCCAGAGGCCAGGCCACATGTCAGACCAATTAACCCCCAGTCTGTGGGGTTGGGGAATATGATGGCGTTCGTAATACTCCCCGGTGATTCCCATACGCAGCCTCGTTTGGAAACCACTACTTTAAAGGAGAAAATCACTTATAAAAAAACAGGTGCAAATAAAAGTGATCCCTTGGAGACACACAACAGAATCCATTGGTCAGAGTTACTCATTGTTCTCTGTATCCAGAAATACAACCTGATAAAATGCCAAACTCCGATTTTGTTATTTTTCTCTTTACACCACAGGCATCTCTGACCAACATGGCAGTCCCTGAGAAGTCGCTCTGTAATCATTCCAAATTGTAAAAATTGTGAAATGTCAGCAAGAGAGTTCTGATATTTCAGTTCTTAAAACGCATGTATATTCAGGGTGTCCCCAAACTGTATACCCATTTTGAATAAATTATTTATTCCAATGGGTTAAATCTAAAAAGAAAGAAACATCAAGCTATCAGATGCCAACGTGTGTGTACCTTTTGGGGGGGACACTGTATTTTTAAATGAGGACATCCCTGGAAGATTACAGGCATGCCTTTTCCTTTTAGGTTTGTATCTTGCAGAGTCTCAGTTCCCCCAAAATACTTTGTAAACACCCCCCCAAACATTGTCAGATACTATGCTGAGCCATTGCAACTCACAGGACATGAACATGGGCGGGGGGGGCGGGGAGACAGTTCTGTTGCTTGCGCCTGCGATTTAGGTAAATCTCATGCCCCTAAAACCGTGTCATCGACTTGCTTCTGAGAACTAGCCACAGACGCCTGACAAAACACTCACAAGCTGGGCAGAGACGACCAGAACTCGCACATCAGCACCTGGGCGAAGGCTGCAGGAGGGTCCAGTGGGCGCACAGCTTACCCCAGGCTGCGAGGGCTGCGACCTCCGGGCGAACCAGGCGAGGGGAGGCCGCTGGCTGTCAGCATTGCTGCTCACCCCTCTGGCATTAGAAGGCAGCTCCCTGCCCCATGCTCACCCGCTCACCGATCTGTGGATTTCTCACCCAGGAAATCTGGTCGGCAACCCCACGGCTGCTCCAGAAAGCCTGCAGCTGGCTGACGAGCTCCGTGCAAAAACATGATTTAATTGTGGATGGAGGGAAATAATAGGTATCTCTGGTTTTTAATGTGATCTTAAAATAGGGGGGGAAAGTTTTCTGTTGTGACATTGACATGGAGGCGATGATTTTGAGTAATGCGGAATGATGTGGAGATGCTTGGAGATTAAGTAAGAGCTATATAAAGGCTTGTCAGAATGAATTCTAATGTGCCACAAGACGCTTTGCATACTCTTAAATATGCAAAACGTCTCTCTGCGCCCTCGGATTCACTCTGACAAGCCTTTATATAGCTCTTATTTAAACCCCTGCTTTATTTTTAGGAAACAGGTACTCAGAGCCACTCTCTCAATGGAAGCAACAAAGGGCGATGTTTATTGATTTGGTTCTTTCGTCTGGAGGGAAATAAAGAAACACCATACGGAAGAGCAATCAAAAGTGGAAGCTTGTTTAATATTGCTCTACCATCATCCCGAAAGGCATAATAATTTGAGTTACACATCTGAACTGATTGGAGTTACAGAATCATATCTCCTTTTTGCATTTAACAATATATACAATATAAAATAAATACATTTACACAAATGGACATTGGTTGGAGCACACGGTATGGCACACATCACAAAAATATACAATTGATTGCTTTACAGATGTGAGGCCCATCTACAGCTATAGACATGGTTTTATTATTATTATCATTATTATTATTATTCTTTTTACTATTGGCTATAATGCAACTCCTGGATTATTATAAGCAGTTTAAATTTTTTTTTTGTCCTTTTACGATCTTTGCACATAAGACTGCCATAAAATGTTTTCCTAGGCAGGTAAACAGAGACGCTTAAATAATTAAAATACAATCACCAACACCCATTTTCTCTTCTATAAGAAAAATAGCAGTTTTAAATTTTTTATATCTTTTATGTTATCATTTAAATGCAAAATAGTGGAATAAATACAACAATCTGAGCTGATTGAAACACAAGAGTAACAGCAGGTCGTCACACAATCATATTGCTTTAAATAAGAACCAACTGGAAAAGAAACAAAATCAAAATTAAAATCATAAAGCTAAAACATACACCTTTACTTCCCAAACATAACTTCCCAAAACTTCACATTAAGTAAATGGTCTTGCCTGAAACTCGAAAAGACTTACCTCAAGCGAGGTTTTAAGCGGGGCATTTGCCCTAAAGCCCGTGCAGTACTTTTAAATCTGCATTGTTCATTGTATTTCCTATTTATGGGGTATGTGTTTCACTTAAACTGAAAACTTAAAATTGTCCTCTCTTCTTTCCACATGTCTCCATCTCCTGTTTTCAGTTGATTGGCTCTTACTTCTGAAGCCCAAGTACTTTAATGTGATACAGTAAAAACGATGTATATCTTGTATATATTTCATTTACATATAGTGTGGTTGAATAGTAGCAACTTAAACCCCGCACAGACTTTCTGGAAAATAATCTTTTTTTTAAACACTTACATATATAAATAATCTTATAGAATCAGCACCTTTTTATTTTCCCAGGAGTTGGATTGTTCTGTTATTTTTCAAGGGATGTGCCAATTTCTGAACTCCTATCACAGCTATAAATTTCAAGTTATTGACCATCTGAATGAATAGCTAATGATGATTTATCTAGAATCACACTACAATCACTTCTCTACTGAGAAACCACAATCTACAATATAGTCCCATATAGCTAATGATAGATACACAGTATTTCTAGCATGAGGTTGATGAACCATCAACCCAAGGTATTTTGTTTAAAGCACACCAAGTAGCAAGAGTTTTGGAAACGTATCCGCACCAAAAAAGTTTTGCAACAACACAGAGCGAGTTAATAACAACGTTGTGGGAGAGATGAGTGAGTGAAAGCCATATATATACAGCATTTAAAAATTAGACTTATCTATATTCTTGAAATATTCAAAGTTTTATTTCTAAGCTATACATTGGTATTCTATAATAAACCATTAGAGAAATTATCCCTTGTTTTGAAAATATTATGATTTTTGATGTGGATCTGTTCATAAGGAATACTTGTTTGGAGTTTCAATCTCTTAATTCTTATTAGGAAGAACCTTATTACGGGTAAGGAATAGAATATACTACGGTAGTCTCCTGAGGAATTGTACATCCAATATTGTCTCTAATTCTACCCTGTGTCTAAAAGCACACACCACGAGAATCCAAACACCACAAGAAGAACAAGACAAACAGTCTTTGAATGCAACATAAAACTCCGAGAAAGCACAGCAAACATGAAACATTGAAAAGCTGAACTACATCTCTTTTTGTTTGTTAGGATTACAATTTTAATTACATCTGTGTACATAGAAGAAGACTGTTCACATGGTACAGGGAGCAGCTACTAACACTGGTCCATTGGATAGCATCTGATGGAGGTTACTGTTTCTTGGGTATTCGGCGACTGTAGGTTTTGGGGGCATCTAACCGACTCCTTCATTAGATTACACCTCTCCACCGTCGGGAACCTGACTTTCTGGCTGGGACAATACTGGTTGAAAAGCAGCTGTATTGGCTTAGCTCTTGGTTAAAAACCACAGATTAAACATTCCTAAATGAGTCAACTCATACCAAGAGGTTTCAGAATTTGGTCAGGCATCCGTCATCTTTGACGGGGTTTTTTTGTTGTTGTTGTTCTTCCAACTCTTGAATGAAGACCGGCTCACAGCTCCTTCCGGGACAAGGTCTGTAACTTTGCAAATAGGCAGTAATGCATCACTAACCACCGCGGCAGCTAGAAATTATATGGCGATGGCACCTCCCAGATGGAGAGGTGCGCTTCGGAAAATGCTACAGATCTGGATTCCAGGCGCAGTGATGACAGGTGACCACCCAGAGCCACTGTAGGTGTAATCTCATCCTTCAAGTCAGAGAACATTTAGGGAAACTGGAGCTCGCGTATAAAGAACTTGATGTTTGGGACCAGACGGGCACACAACATAAATTGCATCCGTGAGAATATGCACCTTCCCTTCAACTATTGCTTGAGTAGGTTAAATTCCCATATTAATAAATGGCTGAGAAGTGGTAAAGCTGGTACAAAAAAAAATCTCCATTTTGTAAGAAGAAAAAAAACGTTTTTTTAAAAAAAATCTTCCTTCAGGATTCATGTGTCCTTCATTATTGTCCATAATTGTTCAAAACCAGCACAAAATTGCAGTATTCTTCATTTCTCTTTAGTATTGCGTGAATGAATAAAGCTTAAACTATTCCCTGAAAAAGTTACTTAGTAGCTAAACTAACAAATACCTGGAAGACTTTGAGAAAACAATTCAGGAATCAAATGGCTGTAACTGATCGAGATGGAAAAGTGATAAGAAGCAGCCGATGCAAAGTTGCTTAAGTTGTCTGATTAGGGGCTGCTCCCATGGAATCTGATACTGCCCTCAGTCGATCCGTTCGTGTTGCACTGTACTTTAGCTACGTTGGTTCTTTCTCTTTGATTCCTTAGTCACGGGGGACGTTGTGGTTCACAATTAAGTTCACTGGCATCCATACTATGGATTTCCTTCCTTTGGCAGGGCTGGCTTCCACCTCTCTTCAATTAGAGACCTCTTAAAAGTTCAGCAGCAGATAGGGAGAGAGGAAGAAAGGGAGAGAGCGGGGAGGGAGGGAGGAAGGAAGGGAGGAAAAGAAAGGAAATAAAATGTTTCTTACTACTAGAGCTGTTTAAAATTTAGAAGAAAAGGGAAGGGTGAGAAGAGAAAAAAGAGGGAGGTAGGGAGGGAGGGAGGGAGGGAGGGCGAGGGAACCAGTAATCAGGAAAGCCAAGAAATGGGGGAGAGGAGGAATAAGAGAGGGAACGGGAAAAAAAAACATAAAGAAGAAGAGAAATGAGAAGAAAAAAAAAGATGAGAAATCTGAAAGCTGCTTCATAGTCTTGCTGCTAAGCGATCAGTGCAGTCTTTGCTGATTGGGGATGGCGTGGACTAAGCTCTACGTTTCTTCCACATTAGGCTTGGGTTTATTTTCCCTTTCTTGGCGGGCGTGCAGGAGGAGACGGCGGCCCAGGAGGCCTTTAGTCAGACCTTGGCCTCCAGCATTTCCAAAAAGAGTTTGTGCATGGGGACCTTGCCTTCCAGTTTGATGTTGTAGAAGTGCTGCACGGCCTTGGTGGAGGTCTGCCTGAGCAGGGGCAGCGTCATCAGCATCTTGCCCGCCCTGCGCGGGTCCTCCACGTGCTGGCCGGCTTCGTAGTCCTGCAGGGCCTCGTGCAGGACGTCCTGGAGCTTCTGCACGGCCTCCACGTCCTCTATGTGCATGGAGTCTGCGCGACAAAGCAAAGGACAGACACAGGCCGTTAGTGATCGTGAGAAGCCGCGCGCAGCAGAATCCTGCAAGTTAACAGTTACCCGTCCACTCCTCTAAGCCCTGAAACCTCTAAACGCAGCATCTCCCCTTTCCGAACTATTTGTGGGGTATAAATTTCCCTAGAGTAGATAATTTTCAGTGCTTCATAAGAACATGGGAATTAGTCCTCGCTGGTTTGGCTCAGTGGATAGAGTGTCGGCCTGTAGACTGAAGGGTCCCAGGTTCAAATCTGGCAAGGGCACATGACTAGATTGCAGGCTGGATCTCCAGTGGGGGCCATGCAGGAGGCAGCCAACCAATGATTCTCATTGTTGATGTTTTGATTCTCATTGTTGATGTTTCTATCTCCCTCTCCCTTCCTGAAATCGATAAAAAATATATTTAAAAAAAAGAACATGGGAATTACTATAAAAGATTCATTACTGAAAGGGTGTGGGTATTTTTTTTTCTTAAGACAAAGAAAGGGGAACCTTTCTTTTAACAGATTATGACCATGGCTAGGTTATTCATTACCTCATTCACGTATGTATTCATTCACTCAACAATCATGGAAGGCCATCTAGGAAAAGTATTAATTTCGGTACCATGGCGGTGAAGTTGTGGATAATCCCGACCTGACCCTGAAAAAGCTCACATATCCCAAAAGGCAAGAAACAAGCTGATGACAGAGATTTTTAAAACTCCATGTCTATACCCTGGACCTAACACTGTGTTTCCTTGTAGAATTTTCAGTTACTATTCACGGTGCCTTAAAAGACCCTTACATAGTCTGCTTCTCTGCTGAGATACAAATAACGCCTTTAGATTAATGAGTTATGAAATTTCATTTAAAAATCCAATCTGATCAAGCAATGAAAGGGTTAACAGGGTTGCCAGGATTATTCTTGCGAGGGGAGGGTATAAAAGTTACAGCTCTAAAAGAGGCACTTAATTATATACAAGTTTGAATCATTTAGCATGTTTTATTGATTCTGATGACAGTTTATCAGTTAATTATACATAATGGGGTCTTTGGGGGGAATTCTGAATGTTTAATAATTCTGCTTCTCTAAGAATACAGAGTTCTAAGATATACGTAGTTATCCTAATCTTTCATATAATTCAAATATCAGATCACAGGCATAAAAAGAGAAAATCTAATTTAAAATCAAGTGGCTAAGCATATGATAAAATTATGGCAAAGTAATTAATAGATTGACTGCTATTGTAAGCAGTAACATGTTTTTAAATTTTCTTTGTGTTTTGCTTATTTTTTTCCTTTTACATGGTTATTTTGAGTCATTTCACAATATTTTTGGTGAGCTATTTATATTTGGTGGTTAATGACACATTTCTTTGAAAGAGTTTTGAATAATCTGGAATACAGTTGTTTACATGTATTTACTGCTCAAGACTTGATTCCTGCCTGAAGGAGCCCAAAGAAGGAATTCCTCCCCGTTAGAAATGTTCATGTTTCCTGGACTGGAACTCAAGACATTCTCTGCCCTGGCCGGTGTGGATCAGTGGTTGAGCCTCAACCTGTGAACCAGGAGGTCGCAGTTCGATTCCTGGTCAGGGAACATGCCCATGTTGTAGGCTGGATCCCCAGTAGGGAGCATGCAGGAAGCAGCCGATCAATGATTCCCTCTCATCATTGATGTTTCTCTCTCTCTCTCCCTCTTCCTTTCTCTCTGAAATCCATAAAAAAATGTTTATTTTTTTAAAAAGAGTTGAAATTGTCCTGAACCTGTCTCGTTCAACTTCCCATCTTCATCAGGAATCTCTATACCACATTTTCACAAAGACATTTCCACATATGTAGAGCGTTCCACTTGATAAGGAACCAAGCTAATTTTTAGAAATGTCTTCTTCATATTGTCCCCAATCTGTCTCCAATGACCAGTAGTTGGTCCTGGTCCCAGCTACTGGGACAATACATGTCCTTCTACATGGCAGGTTTTTATATCCTTGAAGTCAGGGCACAGTCACTTCCAGGCCCACCCCAAGCCCAACCTTCCCCACTTCTGGGGCCCAGCAGGAGATATATTATAGGATGTCACAGGAAATCAGGCGAGAACAAATAGCAGAGAGCTATGCTCACAAACAGCAATTAAGACTTCAAACTATTCTTTAAAGGCTGTGATTTAGCATGTGAGATTTAGAAATGATTTAATCAAATTACTGTGATAATTTAACTTCCCATTTACAGAAAAAAATTCTAAGTCATTTTAGCTTTGCCCGTTCTCGGATCTGCTAATACTTTAAATGCAAACTCACTAAATCTGAACTATTTAATTAGACCATGATTCAGCTGGCAGGCTGCTGAAGAAAATATTAATCTCCATTAGAGATCCCAGTTCAAGTTCTGGCTCTGTGGCTTTCATCTCTGTTCTGTTCTTTCGGCTAAATTTATACACGCGTGCCAGGCCCAATAGAAACGGCATTAATTTATGGAATTATTTAGCTCTGGTTGCTGGTGATGGTCTCTTTTTAACTTTATGTTTTTAATGGAAATAGTCCCAGTGTTCATGCTATTGGAAACCAGCTAAAACTTAATAATGAAAATCAAAGGTTTATGAACTAGACGGGGTGATGCTATACTTTTAAAACAATGGGTAAATTGGTAAAAAACAAAAACACAAAAAACATTAATATTCTTGGGCCCAAGCCCAAACCTATTAAATCAGAAAATTGGGGCTGAATCAGGACATCAGTATTTGTTAAAATCTCAGCGATTCTATGGCCTAGCTAGATAAAAATGAGCATATTACCTTGGGGGCAGTGGCAATAGTTTCAAACAAATTCTTAGACATAAACACTAGGACAATCTCGAGAATAGATCCCCATGATATAACCTTACCCAAAAGTCTTGTAGTAATATTTCATTGCACTTTCCACTAACAACATAAAATTAATTACAGAGGTCTCCATATGAAAAAAAAAATTCTACACATGAGAAAATTGGGCCTATTAATTACAGTGTTAAAATGGCGACTTCAGTTGTACTTTTAAAATTCCACCTCAAGGAGATGTATCAATGATGCGATCATTGTTGGCACTCAAAAATAAGAGAATACATATTTTAAGCGAGTCTCTGCGTTATTTTTTTTAACCTTCAAATCATTGCACTTTCCACTAACAACATAAAATTAATTACAGAGGTCTCCATATGAAAAAAAAAATTCTACACATGAGAAAATTGGGCCTATTAATTACAGTGTTAAAATGGCGACTTCAGTTGTACTTTTAAAATTCCACCTCAAAGAGATGTATCAATGATGCGATCATTGTTAGGACTCAAAAATAAGACAATACGTATTTTAAGGGAGTCTCTGCGTTATTTTTTTAACTTTCAAAATTAATTAGAACAGTTATATAGGGTTTCCAAATATTTGAATGGGACAATTACAGTATTAGTTTATGATACATTGTTTCTTTGTTCTTTTTGTCATACACCTGATAATAGGTACTACACTACCACTGGTGTTCTAAATATTCCTGAATTCACACATGACAGAAACATAGCTACAAAAAATATGACAGTCATTAACAGGAAGCCAATTCCCTGTTTCCCAAGCATAAGCACAACATTTATAATTATTGAATAAAGACAGATGTTTAAAATAAGCTGAAATTTAGATTAATGAGACAATGCTTGTTAACACCTACAGCCACATGGGGAATGCTAAGATACCTATAAATTAAATGACACTGAAATAGATTTTTTTTTTGGCACAAAAAGTCACTTAAGCTGATCTGAAATTTCTAAATACTAAAAAAGAAAACCTATGGGTTTTTCAGGATATCTAGGAATAGTGTTCAAATATTTTCAGACTGACGTATTTAAGAGCAGTTTAAGAATCACTGGATCTCAGCAAGATCAAATCTACAACTTTATCACTGCCCTCCCAATAATGGTAAAAATATAAATAAGAAATGAATGACATCATATGCGGTATCAAAGAAAATGACTTTTCTGCGTCGTTTATCCCAAGCTAAAATGGTGGAGCTCACAGATTAGAGGAGAAGAGAAAGGCCACATTTATACAACACAGGAGAGGTGGCACACTTAGAAATTAAAATGGTCCTTATAATCATTTCTCCTTTATCATGATGCTAACTCAACTTCTCTTTGTATTGAGAGGCCAAAAGACTGTTAAAATACAACAGAATATTTTGTGACATGGAAAAATTTTCTTAGAAAACACAATGCTACTCAATACTATAATAAGGGGAAAAGGGTGGGGGGCTTGTTAATTATCTCTGGCTTTAAACAAGAAAAACAAACTAACTCGCTCTTTAAATACCCTAATAACCAGTCCCTGCTCTGAAATAGGTCAACCCTAAGGGAAGAGTGCTACTCAATACTATAATAAGGGGAAAAGGGTGGGGGCTTGTTAATTATCTCTGGATTTAAACAAGAAAAACACACTAACTCGCTCTTTAAATACCCTAATAACCAGTGCCTGCTCTGAAATAGGTCAACCCTAAGGGAAGAATGGGTGGGATTTGAATATTTATCTATAAAAATATTAAGGATTATACTTCTCAACAACAGAGACAGAAATGCCATCAATTCAGGCACTCAAATTGTAATCCATAGCCGTACAGTATGCCTCCAACTTCTAAAATTATAAACATTTCAGCCATTTTGATGACAAAATCTTAGCATTGCTCAGCATTCATAATTAGTTAATTAAAAAAAAGCAATTTGAAGCATGAAGTATACAAAACAGGCTTGCTGCACTTTATAGATAATTATTCAAGGAAATGTTTAAATTTGAATTACTTTGTGATTACCAAATAAAAATTCACAAATCTGCCATCTGATTATGAGGGGGGCTATAAAATGAAGTCTGCAAATTAATAAATTCTCAGAAAACTGCTGTCCCAATTTCCCACTTTGGCTTTCCAGAGAGCAGAACCAGGGGCCCTTGATCCTGCAAGAGCAACGCCATTTGTCATAATGAGTCATAATTTACAGTTTCCCAGGGAAACAACAGAAGAGAATGGTGTGGTTAACAACTAAAAGTGCGAAATGCTAAACTCCATTATAATGACCGATCGGAAAGTACAACTTCATTGTTGAAAACAATGTCCCTCCTATCCGTCCCAGGATCCGTGCATCAATATTGTAGATGAACTGTTAATGACAAAATCAATTAAAAAATTATTTCTAAACACAGTCACGCGTCCCCCGGCTCTCACGGGGGCAATCTGGGCAGAAGGGCTCATCTCCCTAGGACCACGCCAAATCACCCCTCCGTCATCCCCAACTAAGCAAAAGCAATCTGGTTTTTCATTTTTCAGCGCGGCTGAGCCCAGCCTGAGATTGATCGTCACATATGGCCCCAGAAAGCAAACTGTCAATACCTTGAAAGCTGCAGAATTTGAACAAATAGCCGTCCGCCCATTCAAGCCACTCACTGCATCCCATTTAACAGATTTTATTGACAGTTTCCTCCTTGTAATTAAAGGGAAAACTACTGGCCGGCAACCAAGATAAAGTTCAAAGATAGGGTCAAAACAAAAGCAGATGGAGGGGCACGGAGTGACTGTCAATGGGACAGAGCAGCCCGGCGTGTTATCGACGCGCAGGTATCTAATGATCGGCCCGTCATTAAGGAGGGATCTAGCCTGCGCTCTATGCAAATGAGGAGACAGACTTAAGACCACAAGAAAGGGTTCAGAGAGACACACGGGGAAAACCAACAAAGCGCCAACGATTTTTTTCACACGCCAGAGGTTGCCGCCTTTTAGTAAGTTTCAGTTTAAATGTAAAGGCTCTTCATCCCCATCATGCTTAACCCTCACTGCATAGGTCTTACCTTTGAGGGGACTAGTCCTGCAGCCCAATTTGACTTTTAGAGCACCCCAAAAGGTGAGAAAACAGAGGGTTCTTTGATAACCCAAATTAAAAAAAAATACTAAAGATCCAATTGCAAAATGTACATTTTTTTGAGGGGAAAAATGGTTTATGTGTATTTGTGATTCACACTTATTTTCACTTGTGCACACAAGACAACGGCAGCTAATTTTGTCATGGGAATGTCCATGTACACTACAAACTAGTAAATGCATTGCCACAGCAAATGTAGGATGTCCCCCCAAAATGTATACACGCACTTTGAATAATGATAAAGGCAGTGTTTATTAAAAAACATGTCATTTTCCAAATGGAGCTGTCAGCTGTTGAAGTGTGCATACATTTTGGGGGACACCCTGTCTAAAAAAAATAATTCCCATCATATTGATTTTTCTTCTTTATAACTTCTCACCAGAAAGCTGTGATGATTCTAATTTTGCTGGTTCATAGAGAATTTACAACTGGGCCCAGCAGATCTCTGAAGAAGTGAAGGGAAAGGATAAAACTGATACGTGAAAAAATGTAACAAGGACCACGTCAACATGCCAACCTGAATTAGCGAGAGCTATTGCTTTGAGGGTGACGAATTCCTCTTTCTCCAGCTTCATGCTCTTGTATTTCTTCACCAGCTGCAGGATGGCATTATTTAGGTCAAGAAGACCTGCTAACTTGGACTGGTCTTCATCCATTATATAATCGTCTGCATAGACAAGTTCATCCTCGAACGAAAGAGATCGGTATACGACACCAAGGATCAAAATTTCCATCCAAGCACTCTGCAGGAGGCTCATCTGGTCCGCCAGGGACAGCGTGGAGAAGCCTGCATGGGGAGATGAGCAGATCAAGTTACTCCACAGCCATCATTTCATAAGGACACATTTGTTTCAATGGCCCACGGCCCCTGCATTAGGGCTGGAAATTGTGCTGAGTTTCCATTAGATGCTCTTACATTGCCCCCTGATCACTGCGCGAATGGCAAAGTAAAAGTCACCAACCAGCTCCAACACAGTGGTGTTTTTCCGAGCTTTCATAGACTGGGCTGAAAGCAATACAACAGAGAATTCTGCATCTCTCACTTGAGAAGAAAATGCAACGAGATCGTTAAATATGCTTGATTTTCTGGCGGAAGTCTTACTAGCTCATAGGAAGTCAGATTTTTAACGACCTTAGGTCTAAAAACTGCTATTGATAAACAGAATAAAAGTTTCTTTTTTAAAAAAGCCAAAAAGAGAAAGGAAAACAACTAATTTAGATCATACAATTTGGAAACATTTCTCTATAATAGTCACAAGCACAGTGAACAATTAGTATGCTTACACTCACAAGAGCCTTTGCAATTGGATATTTGTTCCCATCCATATTTAACATGAATTCCTTTTAAAAACAGTGATTATTGGCATAAAAAGGAGTGGAGTAATTAGCATCCTGGCCTCCTCCAAACAGAAAAGCAAGTTTGTTCTTAGGATTAAGACCCAGTTACTGTACAAGTTGAATATGAGGGCAATGGGGTTTTGTGCAGAGGATATGAGCAGGGCCAGATCAGAATTTAAATATTGGCTCCACTGGCTACTTACTGGCTGTTTCATCTAGAGAATGACAATTTACTCGTACCTTAATTTTTTACTGGAAAGTATAAGAACCATCCAACAAAGCACGAACTTGTAATATGCATTTGATAAGTGTAGCTACATCAGATATTAGTTTTATCTGAAATACCAGCATGACTGTTTTCAATTCTTTACTGAAACTCTATGAATGCTTACAGTCCCTTGTGAGTTTGCGTAAATATATATATATTGTAAGAGATGGGGTTCAATAGGAAAAATGAAGGAGTACAATTAAGCCTACTTAGGAATGAAGAGATTTATTTATAGCTTAGAGGGACTAGATCTAAATTTTGAAAGATATGTAAGGTCTTAGTGAATATACCTACTAATCAGCCAAATAGTTCTGCAACAGTCTTTTTTTTTTAAAAATAAGTTTCTTTTTTAAAACTTTACTTTCATTTCCAAGGTTCTGCCCAAGGAATCCCAAGGGTAACCAACCACTCCTGGGGTCTTGGCGGCCCATGATTTAAGGCACAACCACCAGTAATTCTAGAGAAGGGGACACTTTGGTGGCAGTGCCACTTATAAAATCTGTCTTTACTCCCCTTCCAGACTCTGTTACCCAAATCAAATATATGCAGCGCTGCCCAACCTTCTTAGGCCCTCGCTCTGGTCATTGTCGTCATTTTTACTCCTATCATATTGTCCATGCCCCATGTAGTATCAGGAGCGACAGCACAGTAAGAAAAAAGGTGAAGATTCCCTGGGCTGTTGCTGATAACTAGTAGCTTGCCATTTGGCACCATCAACTAGGAGAGTTTAATACAATCATCAAGAGGGATTAGGCAAGCTCACTTAGGGGGTCTGCAGGCATCTGTGAAAAGCCTTGCTTTCCTTGGGTAGCAAGCTGCTGACACAGGACTCGGCAGATCTTCCTTTGGACCTGGGTGTGTCAGTCTTTTTTCCCCATTCTTTTTTTTTATATATTTTTGTCTTTGCAAAGTGGGTTACATTACTAATTATCCTCCTAAAATCAGCCATAACCATTGATAACATTTTAAACAGACATTCTAAAGAGGAAAATAATGATCTGATGGGTCGTTTTGGCTCCATTTGCTTTCAATCAAAAAAGGTTATCCTTAAAACAAACAATATCACTTTTTTCTGCCCCATCCCCCCACCACCAAGCAAAAAGATGCCATGCACACCCCACTAGCTAACTCGAGAAAAGGGGACCATGTAGGTCTTTTTTTCCTAAGTTAAACGGATGAAAAAATACACGTTCTTCTAGGAAGTTGTGAGCAAAAAGGCATTTTCCATGTGCCTCCTTCTCTCCCTGTTCACGCTCCCGTTTCTGCGGCAGCAGATGGGCCGAGCGCGTGGCCCGCAGCCCCTGCCCGTGACAGCCCCCCTCCCTCCTGGGCTCCGCTGTTAGTAAATAGATTTACACATTCCCCAATCTCCACACATCTTTTCTGCCGAATAATTAAAAGCAGGATGATTAGTTTATTGAGTGGAAGGAGGAACTTTTTTATTGAGGTCCATCCGCGATGTTATCAGGTCGGCCCTGTTCTGGTTGTCAGGAGGGCGCAGGCATCCAATTTTTCTTATCTGCCTGATTAATACAAACGCCGTTTCAGGACGCATTAATTAACAGATACAAATCTGCGTTCTCATGGAAGGATCGATACGGAGAAGAAAAGAGGCATCAATGTGAATTTAGTGCTGATGATGGAGAAGGCGCGCTATCGACAGTTACGTGCACGGAAACTTGAAAGTTGCGCAGGCCCCTTTGTCCCTGCGATGTACAAACGCACTATTTTCCACCGGTCACAATGTTGCACACGTTTCTTTGGGATTTAATTAAGCAGGAAAAAAAACTACAAAAAAAACAACAACAATAAAAGTTCATTTTCTAAGGTGGATTCTGCAATTTATTTCTTCTATGGTATTGGCTGTGTGTGTGTGTGTGTGTGTGTGTGTGCCTGTATCTTTCCTATAAACCTAACTTTCCCCCTTTCCTCTTTTACTTCTTAATGAAATAAAAAGAAGGGGAAAAGCAAAGAAAGGTTCTCTCTCTCTTTCTCTCTCTCTCTCTCCTTGGTTAGGGAGAATGGGAAGATGGATCTAACATGAAAGGTTTGAGCAGTTTGCTTGCTTGCTATCTTTGAGTCTATTTCAGCCCATTAAAGGAGGTTTAAGTTTGCAAAACGTTGGGAAAAGCAACCATGTGCACTTTGCACAGTATGAATACAAGTGTGGACTTGTATCTCTTCTTGGTCAAGAAATAGCTGAATCTCAACCCATTAACCCTTTCTGACCTCACCTCCGGCGAGCTGGAAGCTGGGACCCAGGCTCCCCCGCCCCAATGCCCAGGTAACAGCCTTATTATGGGATGGCCCTGCCCACCGGTCCCCAAGAAGGCTGGATACATAACATTCTATTTTCACTCCACAGAGTTCTTCCCCTGCCCTCTGGAGTGTTAGCTGTATTTTACACACAGGCAGACACCTGGATACAACACTCCTTTTATCGGTAGATCTGAGCCAGGTACAGAAGCATAATTGAACAAAATCTAAATGAAAAACACGTTTTAATAAACTGTGACTAAGGAATTTTGTTAAAACATGTTTGCTTTATCGGGGTGCACACACACACACAAACATACACATCAGAATGGTAATCCCTGGTTTGTGCGTTTGCCAGCATTTATAGTGGTGTTTGCCAGCTAGCAGGCTGAAAGTTAGAGACACCCCCTCCCCCAAATCTGTAACATTTAGCTCTCTTTGGAGAGAAACCTCTTCCCCAAGGGGAGTAAAACACGCTTCCCTGTTGTGTCGTTTGCACTTCATGTTTTGTACGGCCCGGATCTCAATCTTTGGTGTGTGACAGGTCATAGTTTTAAACGCTCGGCCATGTTACAGCGTTTGAAAATAACACTGAGGCCGTGGGTGGCGCATGCTCTGCTTCCCTGGCTACAGCCCATTCCACGCGTGTACCTGACAACTGTGACCTCCCTTCATCTCCGTCTGGGGTTAAACAGTGTGTGTATCTGCCGTGCAGCGGGCTCCCAACAAACCAGATGACAGCTGGGAATAGCATCACTGGGGAGGATCAAAAAGAGGCAGGTGCCCCCAAAGTCATAGGCCCATAGGAAGTGTGTGTTCTGTGCCCACCCCCTCGCCTCCGTCGCCTGGGAACTTCGGAGGATAACAGTGACGCCATGGGCACTTGTCAAGTATTTTTTTTTCTGAGCCTGGCAAACGGGTGCACTTTGCAGTCCACTTACACAAAAAGGCTAAGCATGTGAAAGTGTGAAGGGCAAAGACTATCTGACGGCTAGGCTTCCAAAATACACTTTCATTTCAGAAAGCATACATGTTTATTCCCTGCGAGGGGTGTTGACAGAAATAGGCTGCCGTGCAGGCATTTTCGGCTTAACCCCTGCGAGGCATGTTCTTCTTGGTGGCTCCCCTACCAGAGAGAACCCTATACATCTTCGGGGTGGCTGTTCCTATCAGTCCATCGTGGCACTGACTGCGCCTGCTCCCCGTGTTTGAACTGTAGTTTCTCTGCTCCACAAAAAAGAAATCGGAAATCCATTGGGAGTAGTTGACTGAGCGACATGGCAAAAGTGAGACACTTTCTCATACACATAAACCCACTGTGGACAGGGATGGGGGGGGAGAAAAGAATATCAATGGCACGAACACTTGGTGCATAACCCTTGTTAGAGGCAAACTTGCTCTGGATTTTTAAGCCAGTTATTTGTGTCACATGAGCAGACATGTGTTGTATATGATTTGCAAAGCATACAGCTCTGGGCCGTATAGTGAGTGTGTGTGTGTTTTGCTGTAGTGATGGACTACATGAACTAGACCTCCAAAAAGTCCAAAGTTAAGCAGCTACCAATGATCAAGTACCAGGGTGAGAGCTCACATAGCTATCTGGTACCAGGAGAAGCATTTTATTTAAAAATCTTCTTTATAAGGGATGGTGGTTTTTCTCTCTTGATTTCATCAGGACTTAGGCATTAGATAGGATACCCACAGTGCTACCCTTTGGCTCTCTTACTCTTTTTAGACTGACCGTGACGCAGATTTCAATCATTTAGATTCAATCACAGTTGGTTTGGGTGAAATGGAGGAATACAGAAGAAACTGTAAGAATAACTGCCCAAAGGGGATAGCTCCCTTTCTTGCTAATTTAATCATGCGTTTTTGGCTTCTGTTGTTTCCTTAGGAAATGTGGTTTTTTAATTCTGTTTTTTAAT